ATTCTCTTTCTTTCTTTCATTTCTTTACTAGGCAGTGGCTGGTTTTTCACTGCAAGTTTGGGCCTACCAACTTTTAACAATATATGTATTTTATATTGCGGTTGGCAAAAATGAGTGATGGACCGATAACTTTCTGAAGGTGAGCACAGCCCACTAGACTGGATACAGATACCTCTCCAGATGGGAACTTCTAATAACTGTGACTCAAACTGTCAGAGCAACTATCAAGCCTACTGCTACCTTATTTTATTGAACTCTCAAGCTAGGCAAGCTCCTGTGCTAGCTGATGAAACAAAGGATTACATAGGATTAACCCTTTGGAAACTTAGGACACAAATTCATTTAATTAAAATAATCTTCCTTAAGCATTCAGTGGCTGACAGGCTAGAAAAAATGCCGGCTTGTCTTCAAGTCCTGCTGCTGTTCTAGGATGGAGTAAAACATTTTGCCCTATTTTCAGGCTTGAATCAACTTTGAGTGGGCATATCGGCAAGTCAAGCCATAGAAGAACGTTGTCTTACCAAGACAACCCAGTCAAAACAGCTTTGTCTCTTCATCACTTAGTCTTGACCATTTCCAAATCTTTAGATAAAGCTCTGTCTTTGTTATGAAAACTATTTCAACTATTTCTAGTCCTGTTGGGTTTTATTTTTAATACTTACTTATATTTACAAATACAGCAAACTGAAGCATTTTCAAAGTAGATGACCTGTGAGCATGTTGTCATAGGTTTCATTAATGCAATTTGATATCTCCCCCTGCCCCCTGCCCAGGAAAGTGCTGTGGGCAGTTTTATATATCAGTATCTGGATAGCTACAAGTACCTAAAGGGAGAGAAGCTGCTGGTTTTGTTCTTTGCTTATGATGTTCCTTCTACTGTCTGAAATCCCAGTATGGCTTATGTATTTTGAGAGCAGCTGTGTTATTGCTGGCCAGTGGGCCCCTTCACTCAGCAAATGAACCAGTTCATTTTAATACCCATCTCTTACTCAGCCTGTGTAGAACCAGAGAAAACAGTGAAACCAGTGGGAGCTACTCTACATGTAAAGAACTGCACTAAGTTTACCGGTAGGATTTAGGATCCTGCCTGGGATCTGCTTAGGGACTGGTTCCTTTAAGTGTATGAAAAATGCCACTGGCAGATGTTATGATTGCAGCCTGAAAGTTTAGATATAGGGGGAGGAAAGGGGCTGCTTTATTTGACCATTTTTATAGCTTTCGTTCTAAGAAAAACCCAACCCCACATGTTCTCTGCCTGCTTCGAACAGTTCCCAGCCCTCCATGGCCACGGGGTGGAATGCAAATGGGACTTGCTACACAGTGTGAGCAGAGGAACTTGCTGTTCTCTTTGTTTGCCTTCTTTCAGACCAAGGTTGGTGGGACAAGCCACACTGGGGGCAGTTTTGAAGAAGTTCTCAGCTCTACAGCCCATGCTAGCGCTCAGAGCTCTCTTGCTGGCACCCGCCTCCCTGAGAGTGAAGAAGAGCTGCAGTGTTAGACCGCCGGCCTTCCCGAGCCTCACACACCTCTCCTCAGAGACTTGCCCAGCCAGGGATTTTTAGACCTGCCTCGCCACCCAACTTGTGCAACAAGGTTTTGTCAGCTTTGGAAAATTGCCTCCCTGGCCTTGTGCTGGAGAAATGTTTCCTCTATGTGTGTTTTGGATGGGCCATTTTATCATCAGGTACTTTGTACATCATAGAAACCACTTATATGACTTACAATGCTCTAAATTCTATGTTAAGTGACCAAAACAGTTTTCATTTTCACGTACCTTCCCTCCAACAGTCTCCAAGTCTCTGTTCCTTATTTCTTTTAGTTTACTGTTTTCTATCTGTTGGGTTTCTAACTCCCCTCTCAGTGCCACGGCAGACAGATGGACCTAGAGCTGTGCAAAGATTGCTACTGCCAGCAATAGTCCATATACCAGCTGTCTACCAGCCATACCAGGTGCCCTTTGCTCAGGAGTGTCTGTACACAATCTATTTCCTAGCAGAATTAAAATCACTTATTGTCACAAAAAGGTTTTTCTCCTTCACTGGTACAGTCTGGCATTGCCCTCCACCCATTAGTCAGCAGAGTTAAGGAGGACAGGAAGAGACACCCAGTTATTCATATAGAAACTGAACTGATCACAGCTGCTGATTCAAGATGATCATTGTAGCTGGAAAAGCTTCAGTTTAAAAATATGTTCCATTGCTTGCTCTCTGTGGTTTGGTAAGCCTCAATGGTAGAAGTTAATTACAAAAGGAAGCTGTAATATTTTTGCCTCCGTAACTTCCCCTCAAAAAAAGAGACGGTATGTTTAATGAGCTTCAGGCATGATACAGCCTTAAGTGAAAGAATACAAACCCAACAATTGGCTCCAGACGTGCCACAGGTCAGAGAGCCCATGCCTTCAGTCTGCATTTCAGAGCTGTTCGCATAAACCCTGCTATCTTGCAATACACAGGATGAGTAGGTAGTTCACTTCTGTCAAATTTTGTCGTGCTTCACTCCAAGACATAATTCCCCCAACCACATTATATCTGCTTAATCACCAGGAGCCAGTCATCTCTCAGCTTTGATTCAGCATGTTCTCTTGCATCCTTTTAACATTTTTTCAAAGAAAAGAGCAGCACACTTGTGACACTATCTTGCTGTCTAGTGAGCACGTGTCAGTCTGCATGTTGCACTACTCAGTTCACCAGACTGAGGTGAGCACAACTTTTATCAGTCAAGTATAAACAAGATGGAAAACAGTCTGGCTACTTTCAAAATGGATGCATTTTTTGACCATAAGCCAAAGCTTTGAGTCAGCGTTAGTGAGTTTGACATTACAGACTGCTTAAAATCTTGTCAGAAAACTTGGCTTTAAGTGATTTTTTTTCCTGTGTGGCTTTTGTTATAGTTTTTACAAAGTTGGAAGTACTTTCGTAATGTTCTACTGGACATAAGTTAACTTTGGACATTTATATCAAATGCCTCTTTAGTGTGATTTTTAGCATGGAAGCAAATTTAATTAGCTTTTTTTAGTACAGTTTTCCTGTGCCAGTTTGCTAGCTTGTTTTATGTGGATTTGTGCATAAATGTGAATTTATTTAAATGAAGATATTAATGGTCAACTTAGTTTGTGTAAATGAAGTTATTGATATTCTTATTAAATTTCTCTCTTACTCTTTTGTACTTTGTGATGGGTATTACTGTGCATCTCTAAGCCTTGGTATGTCACAGCAGAGGATCAAAGTAAATGGCAAGAATATAACCTGCCATTCCTACAGTTTTTAAAACCTGTTCAGTTCCTTCTGGACCTGAAATTCCCCATGGAAATCTGTGGCCCAAGTTTTGAAAATTTTGAGATTCAAAGGAGAAACATAATTGAACCAAGTTCAGTAGAAGCAAAATGTGTGGCAGAAAAAATCTAGGTCCAACACTATTGACCTGCAGTTGCAGTGAGTGGAAAGGAATGCAGTTTTACACAAAGCACCTGCTGGCTTTCTTTAAACAAAACCAAACCCCACGCAACGCACACTCAAACCATGTCTCTGTTTCCCAGGCTAGTATTTATTTACCTTTCTTGCACCATTGCACTGCTGACAGGGGTCCCCCGGCCCTCCTGCAGAACAGCACATCGCCAGCCAGTACAGCCTCCTGCTGCATTAGAGGAACCGACTGTTCCTGCTGGGGTAGCGCTTGCGCTGTGTCTGTTTCTGTCAAACAGCTCTTGAAGGCCACTCTTCTTGTTTGTCAGGAACATTCTCAGGTCCGTCTTCCACTGCAGCTGTAGAGTAGCTCTTTCATGCTTGGCACTCAATGCAAACTAACGGAGACTGTGGTTTGTATGCATCTTGGTGGAATAAAAGTGCCGAAGCAAGCCGAGCAGTCCCCACTCCATCACCCTTGCAGTATGACAATCAGCTGCCAATAACCACTAATTAGAGTTTCCTGTTGCTCAGTAAAGCACAGCTTGTTCTTCCAGGGTCGCCACAGGGCACAACTGCTGCCTTGCGGCATTCCCTGAGCAGAGCAGGCATCCCACCCCTCAGCTGGACCAACGTGCTCTGCAGATTTTGTGTGCTCAGCCAGCCGCTAAGGCAAGAGCTCGCAGGAGCTGCACGCGGAGCTCTGTGCCTCTGCCAAAGGCACTGGCCGCAGAATGCAGGGCAAGCTTCAGTGGGCCCCCGAGGTTTGCATGAAAGAGACACTTCCCGAGTCACAGTGCGCTCCGCTGAATTACCTACCTCTAAAGGGGATGACAATTGAATTTAGTTTTATGCTGCCTCACTTGCCCTGAGGCCGAAGACAGAGGAGCTAGCTCCAGGTCTCTACCATGCAGTTTTTCCAGGTGCAAACTTTCATTATGCAGCAACTGTGACCTTGCCCTAATCTCCAGCTGCAGACAACACAAAAGTTAGCAGTGCAGACACTGGCCTCGCTATGGCATTTACCAGCACTACAGCTTTACTTGACAGCAACCATACTGTACTTTTACATTAGCATTATTACTTCTGCTAAAACCTGTCATTTACAGCAGAACCTGTAGCAGCCTGAACAAGGGACAACCAGCTTCATGTGGCTGTACAGGCTTTTGCATTGGACTGCACAAGCTCCAAAGGACCCTCCCAACCTCAGCTATTCTGTGATCACCAATTACCTGGGCAAGAGTCTGTAAAATTGCCAGTGAGGTTGGAGTCTGTAGAATTGGGGTGAGGGGGAGTCAGGAATACCGGCTTTACAGCAATATCAGCACCATCCCCCTATACAACACGTGAACAGTGGAGGATGTGTTTGTAACTGAGACTGCATCAATCAGAGGCTGATTAAAAAAAGGAAAACACAAACAAGCTAATTCTAAGTATGTGGTCCTTGACACAACCTTTGATCTGGGAGGTAACTATCCTACCTGCTCCTAGCCAAGTGGTCCTGGCATTCCCAGCAGTGAATGCACAGAAAAAAAATCTGCTGGCAGAATTAGTGATGTTATAGGAGGAAAAATAATGCACAGAATATAAACCAAAGTATTTATTATAGCTACAGCATTTAGGAACACCTCAGGAGTGTGGATGAGATGTAGCAGCTAATTTTTTATTCCTTTCTGTGTTAATCAAAGACACAAGCTGGAGTATTTCTGGGTGAACAAACTTTCCTGCAAAGCAAAAGAAAGGGAAAGTTAATTAAAAATGCTCTGATTTTCTTATGTGTGAAAGGTTGGCAGTGAAACCTGCTTAGCAGTGATGTCACTTTAGGCTCAGAATAAATGTCAAGTTATTCTTTTAAGAAGGAGAGTACTCCCAGTTTAATCCAACTGCAGAATAACTACAAGACTAGTTACAGCCATTCTTCCCCAAAAACTTATAAAAAATATTTTGTGCTCTTTTAAGACACTTTAGAGCAGAAAAAGGGATGTACTCTGATCAAGATAATCCCATACTATGTAACCTGCTACAGGAAACCACCCCAATTACAGGTGCACTTGGTGTATATGCTGTAGGCTCTACTGAGACACCAGCTCAGTTTAAGTCACTGAAGTCTGGTAGGACGGCAAAGATGTCAAATAGGACAACACCAACAAAGCTGGAACACTTCATTTTCTTTACCCCACCCCTCCCTGCTTCCTCCCCTAATCAAATTATTGCATTTTTCAGAGAACTTATTATTTCCCTGAGGTGTCATGGAGGTATAAATGAGAATTGTCAGGGACTGTGTCTGGTGATTGCTGGTCCTCTCCCCGAGTTTGTCTGTCCCTAGTTTTTTCCCAGGACAGGATGACTTGGAGTCACAGTCCCTTTCTGGTGTTCAACTCCCTTGCTAAAAATAATAAAAAGACTATTATTTTACCTATTTTTCCTTTTAACTATCAGTTTATTTTGGAAAGGATGAAAAGCAGTGGATAGAATAAAAAGTAACACAATTGCACCTAAAACATTTCACCAAGCTGGTTCTCACATGTACCTTGGGCAGGTCACACAAGACCACAGCTCATGTAGGAATAACAAATTCTACTTTATTGGTTCATTAAACCCTAACAAAGTAGAAACAAGCTGTTGTCAGAGCATCAGTGAAGACTGAAGTCTCCTTTATACCCCCTCTGATGTTACAGGGAGATCCTTAAACACATGCAAGTGTAACAAAAGCTGGGCCTCTCAAGGTAAAAAGTGATGTAAAAGGAATTTGGCATAAATGAAATTCAGGTTCAATACCTACAGATAAGTGTAAGGTATTTTCACACTGCAATAAGTTTCCCCAAAAGTATTTAGGGTACTTCAGCAATGAGTAAAATAACTAGTTCTCACTTGCTCTGGATGTCTATCAGAAAAAAGGCAATTTGTTTATTTCATTTCATTTATGGAAAAAGAAAAAAAAGAAAAAAAGCCCAAATGTCATACCAGCAGTTGAATCGTAAAAATCCTGCAGTCTGCCAGGTGTGTTTTCCAACTCTTCGTACTCAAATGCTTGCAGTATCATCTCGCACTGATCCAACTGTTTTACAAACTTGGCTTCTGCAGTACACTGGTTTTCATATTCCTGAACAGATTTGCATTTATAAGAAAAAAATTTTGTTGTTCTGAAACACAGTATTAGAAGCTCATTCTGTATCTAGAATTTTCTCCATTAGTACAAGCCACTCCATAAATATTCATGACAGTTACGTCTTTCACTCTCTTTTTCAGACTGATATTCAGCAAAACACTTGAAATAAGTGCGTGCCAAATTTCTATTAAATGTAATGGGACCTAAGAACACAATTCTTTTGCATACTCTAAACATATGAAGTGTTTTGGCTGAATCAGGGATGATATGGAGACAACCCTACATGACATACAAGTTAAATAATAGGTTCCATTTAACAACATTTTTTATATAAAGATCTTTTCAGGCCTGGCTAAGGCTATGAATTACCACAGTGTGTGCCTATGCACTACCATTACCTATTTTTTAAGACCTATTTTGTACTTGTCTCCATCACTTGCTGTTTTTATAAGGAGTTGTTCTTTACATTTCTCCTGTCACTCCTTCTTAATCTCTTTGGTCTAAGCTGTCTGAGCTGCTTATGTCTTTATGTCTCCCCTAGGAGATAGGGAGGGGAGTCGTTATGGGGTTTCCTCCCCTCCAGACTTTAAGTCCTTTAATCTCTCTTCTATCTTTTCCCTCTCTCCAGTCATCACTAGTATGTACTTGTGAGTTGTTCACATTTCTAGTCAACTTGAACAATTTTGCTGTCATTTGCTTCCAGTGATGGCTGCCGACGGCTTTGACATTTCATTTTCTCTTTTCTAAATCTACTGCACTGTATTTGATGTCTCACCAGCTGGTCTTCTTCTGACTTCCAAAACTAACCACAGAAAAAGGCTTCTTTCTGTGCAGGTTACCATCACCTTGATACCCTCAGCAGGTCTGACCTCATCCATCATCATCATCACCGATAATTAGTCCAGAGGCTTAAGTACACACCAGGCCATCTGTGCTTTCAGATCCACACAACCCACAACACACAGCAGTTCTGCAGATGAGAGCAGCTCAAGCGCAGGAAGAGTTTTTCCTGCTGAACAAAGAACATGGCATCTCTTTCTGCATCTTAAGACGACAACTGTGGGTGTGGGTGTCATTCACAGTGGCAAGATCCTGCATTGTAACTCCAGCACAGTGATGCTCAGATAAGCGTCACGGTCATTTCATTGTCTGACATAATATTAGGAGCCCGTTTGTTCTTATGCTTAATGCTTTACCTTTGAAAGTCAAAAACCCAGATTTTGATAGCCATGATTGATTCATATACTACTCTATTTGAACAATACTTTGAATTTTCAATTACATTTTGATCATTACTTTAGTAATCAATTTCAACATTTTTACCTTCCTTTCCTCATTTCAATTTGCGCTTTGCCTCATCTTTAAATTGTTTAAATACTACTTCTTACTTTCTTAAATCCATTTATTTGTACTCTTTTTTTTTTTTGGCCACTGAAGAGAACAAACTCTTGGCAGCATTACAAAGAATTTCAGGACAAGGAGAACTATGGCTGTTTGCTTGTAAAGGTTTGTCCCACCTCCAGCAAATAATTGGGATTATCAATCTGTTACCAATCTCTTTGTGCCATACAACCCACAAGACCTTATTCTTACCTCAGTTCACATTAACCTCAAGAAACATCAGCTATTGTATGTGCAACTGTGCACAGTGCTGAAATAATCACTTACTGTTTCCTCCCCGCAGGTGTTTAAGAGCGTGAAATAACAGTATACTTTGGAAAAACTGGTCTCTCAAACACCACAGTCTGGCTTTTAAAAACAACTCCTGTACTTTTGCTCTTGAAAATAAAAAAGCAGGACAGAGCTGAAGTGTGCTGAGTCATTTACTGTAATGTTTTTTCAAACATATTCTGGATTAAGTTATAAAGTGAAAATACATTGGAGTCATCCTTCTGCTACCTTTCTCCCCTACACTACACTTGCAGAGTGTCCACCAATACAGTCCAAAGCAACAGTCCTTGTGAGGCTGAGAGTGAAAGAGGGGCAGAAACAAGGGTAGAGCAGTGCAGGAAGAACTCACTAAGAGTGTCAACAGATTTTGTCCCAGCCACTGTTCACCTCTGGGCTGTAACTTCCTTCACTCACAAAAAGAAATCGGAGGGAAATGCCTCTGGCTAGCTGAGCGCAGAATATCACAACAAGTGATCAGAGGCTTCTTATATTCTGCTCCCCCCCCCCTTTTTTTTGTCTTTTTAAGAAGCACCTAGTTGTTCCACTTAAAATAAGACTAAAGGGACTACATGTGAATATTAGATTTTTAGGTTACACTTGCTGCTATTTGGGTTACACTCATATTGCTGCATTGGAGACTCAATGCCAATAAATTATCCTGAAGGTAGAAACAAAGAACAAATGATCAAAATTGTGCATATCTTAAATTATGGTTAATGAGAATGATAAAAAGCTAACATGCAGAAGAACTAACTGCATACTGAACCAGCTCCTATACAATCAGAGGAAAAGACTGAGGCAAAAAAAAAAAAAAGCAAAAAAAAAAAGTCCTACAGGACTTATTTTATCTATCAAAAACTCATTTTCCTCAACTGTAACAGTTTCCCAAGGGAGAAGGAACCAGTGTTCACTAAACAAATGCACGCACATTATTCCCCAGATCTGGTTATGCTGGTTTATCCCCTTTACTTTGAATTATAGCATTGAAAACCCGTTGCCAGTTTTACCACACAACTACAGCACAAAGAAAACCCCAAACAAACAGGGTGCTGTAACAGAAGACAGAAATTGGCTGCAAATACTGGAATTTAAATACAGTCCAAGTGGAAAAGTGAGAATATCACCATAAAATACAGTTTGAGGCCACAGAGTCCCAGAAACATATAATGCTTTGTTTGTAACAACATGTGAACAAGAGATTGTGGATGCACTTGTCCTCATGTGACTGTATGCCAGCAGAAGATAAAGCACTGTAATTATAAACTTGGATTGTTTGGAAATTAATCATCCCTAGTTTGCAAGTATAAAAGATCTTATCAATTAACAGCAAGAGTTCACATCAAAAAGTTACATCACCTTCAAATACAGAAGGTACTTTCCAATACAAACATTTAAGGTACCCAAGAGCAGCCAGCAGTCTGTGTTGTTTGTAGAAAAGCACTGTTCTGTGTCAGTACACCACTTTTCAGTTTAAACCAGAAGTTACTACTAAGTATTTTAGCCTAATGGGCTGTATAATAAAGAAATGGAAGCCACATAAATTATTACTTGCATAAAAAGCAGGAAATACTCCACAGCATCATCAGCTCCCATCATTTTTTCCTGTATTAAAGGATCATGAACTGCAAATGGCCAGAACAAAAGAGATAATGTAGTAAAAAAAAAAGATTTATATCCCAGAAAGCTAGATGTAGAGGACAAACCCTTCCATAAGTTGTACAAACTAAGCCCTGGACAGGTTCATCTGGAACTGTGAGAGGCCAAAGGCAGAAGCTGGTTATTTTACCAAAGTTCGGGGTTTCTATTTGAAAAGGATTCCAAAGCAACCTTGACTCATACCATTAAGCTTTATCTCCCAAGCAAATGAATCTACCCTGCTTGAGGTCAAAATAAGAGATGACACAGTTTTTACAGGTAAACATGAAGAGGACAATGAGTCACCCTGAATTTTAGCAAAGTATTAAAAGAATGCAAGCTTACTTCCCAGAGTTCATATATTTCTTTTCTGAGGTCCTCTGACAGAAGCTGGGTCAGTTGTTGCATAGCTGCCTGAAAAAAAGAAGCCATTTCCATTTATCCATTTTTTAAGCAAGCACATTTTTATCATTATTCTTTCTGAATAATTAACTACTTGTTACCACATTTGTAGAAACACACACTACACAGTATATTACTGTATTGGGTTTGTGTGGCAAGGTTTTGGTAGTGGGGGGGTCTACGGGGGTGGCTTCTGTGAGAAGATGCCAGAAGCTTCTCCCATGTCCGACAGAGCCAATACCAGTCAGCTCCAAGTCGGACCCACCGCTGGCCAAGGCTAAGCCCATCAGCGATGGTGGTAGTGCCTCTGGGAGAACAGATTTAAGAAGGGGAAAAGTTGCTGTGTGACAGCAACTGCAGCCAGAGAGAGGAATGAGAATATGTGAGAGAACCAACCCCGCAGACCCCCAGGTCAGTGCAGAAGGAGGGGAGGAGGTGCTCCAGGCACCGGAGCAGAGGTTCCCCTGCAGCCCGTGAGGAAGACCATGGTGAGGCAGGCTGTCCCCCTGCAGCCCAGGGAGGACCCCACGCTGGAGCAGGGGGATGCCCAAAGGAGGCTGTGACCCCATGGGAAGCCTGCGCTGGAGCAGGTTTTCTGGCAGGACTCGTGACCCCGCGGGGGACCCACGCTGGAGCAGTCTGTGCCTGAAGGACTGCAGCCCAGGGAAGGGACCCACGCTGGAGCAGTTTGTGAAGGACTGTCCCGTAGGAGGGACCCCATGCCAGAGCAGGGGAAGAGTGAGGAGTCCTCCTCCTGAGGAGGAAGGAGCAGCAGAGACGACATGTGAGGAACTGACGGCAACCCCCATTCCCCATCCCCCTGCACTGCTGGAGGGGAGGAGGTAAAGAAAATTGGGAGTGGAGTTGAGCCGGGAAGGAGGGAGGGGTGGGGGGAAGGTGTTTTAAGATGTGGTTTTATTTCTTATTATCCTACTCCGATTTGATTGGTAACAAATTAAACAGTCCAGTCTATTTTGCCTTTGATGATAATTGGCGAGTGATCTCTCCCTGTCCTTATCTCGACCCACGAGCCTTTTGTTCTATTTTCTCTCCCCTGTCCAGCTGAGGAGGGGAGCGATAGAGTGGCTTTGGTGGGCTCCTGGCCTCCAGCCAGGGCCACCACAACTATTCTAAAGTGCACGTGTACATAAATCTGCCAGAGGAACAGGACCACTCAGTGAAGAATCTTTTCTGGGAGCTGCTTAAGTAAATTGTTAGAGGACTAGTCTAAAAAAAGAAAAACAACCTGAAAGTGCATCCAATACCTTCAAGAGTCAAAAAAGAAGCCCAGAGCAAAACAAGCAAGTCAAATGACAGAGAACTACCATCAATTAGCAGCTCTGCCTTCCAGATTTAACTAGTGGAGGCAACATTTGAACTTAATAGGTTACAGGTGCAGTTCATGAAAGCAGCTTCAAAATACTAACTCCTAGCGTTGACAAGCAGTTGCCCCGTCCCAAACACTCAACAAGCACCTTTCTAGCAGGGCTGAGAACAGCTACTGACTGTCAGGCAGGCAACGCAACAGAAGCCTTTAAAAATCTCCAATTTTGAAAAACAGAGAAGAAAAAACCATTTAATACCCTGCAGCAATAAAACACGCTGCTCCCAGACTGAGATACCATTTGTTCAACAACAAAAATCTTGGTACAAGGTTTAACGCAGTATCAAACTGATGGTGTAACCAGCAAACAGAAATTGTTCTGCATGCTCTTCATGCTCTCCCAGCTGATCAGTCTCATTTCTGTGCTATTTCTACTGTTTTCCTAGTAACACTAAGAACTGCTTCCAAAACAATCAACATCACAGGCAAGACAAACATTTTGTGCCATGATTATTTCTCCACTTCAAATACAGGGTATCGTTTCACAATATGACTGAACTGAATCAGCTGCTCCCCACCACTGAAGCATCAAGGTCTCATTCCTTCCCAATTCCTTCCAGCTCTGGAGCTCATCAGATTTCAAGGTTAGCAGGCCAAAATGACTTACCTGACAAAAAAGAAACCCCAAAACACCAAAACCCAAACCACCCTGAAGAAAAACCCAAGCTTTTTTTTTTTTTTTTTTTTTTTTTAAATCGAGTTCATTTTCTGCTGCCTTAGCCTTGGTGAGACCAGCTGATTAAACTTACTGCTCAAGCAGCAAACTTCAGAACCAGCTCAACGTCAGCTGTAAAGCAAAGGGGAAAAAAGGAGAACTCTGTAGTGGAAGCAGCATATTGATAATTCATCATAAATAGCCCTTTGATCTTTACTTTCCACTTTTTTAGCAAAGAGCTTACTCCTAGAGTTAGTCATAGCTCCCCCTAACCCTAAGTTTTAAACAGGTAAGCAAAAAAAGTGGGTGGGGGAGAAATAATCACTGCAACGTTTTTCACACTCTTTGAAGATCTAATTGTAGCCTCTAAAGTTTCTGAGGCATCACGCTGCCCTCTAGCTGTGGTTGGAGGAGTGGTTTGCATTTTCTTCAAATGCAGCAAGCCAGAAATGACAAACCAACACTTAGTATATATACAAGGCCAAAAATAAAATAACTCTAGGCACACTGCACTCAAAGACTCATGACCTGTGCACCTGTGTCTGGAGTCCTGTGCAGATGGTTTAAATAAAGTCTCTGTCAGAACCACAGCATCTGGCACCACACAAATAATCCACCACAAACTGTCATCCACCCTTCTCGGTGCACCTGCTCCCCACCTCTTGGTAAGGCTGGTCAACACAACTAATTCAGGCTACCAAAAATCCAGCTAGTTCACAAATAAATGGCCAATGTGAAGATTACTTCAAAGAATTCTCCTTCCTAACTTTGTACTTGATGACATTACATGTACAAAAATCATGAGTTGAAAACTTTGGTTGTTTGTGGCATACTCGTCCAATGTCAGTGACAGTATTAGGTTGCTTAGAGGATCTCTTCGCTACCACCAGAACATTAAAAACAAGCAGAACACTTCACAGATGTGGCTTCACGCCTTATGTCCATACCTCTTCTCTCCTGTGTTTCTCCTCTTTTGAGATATTATCTGCAGGAGCAATATCTCCAACAATGCATTCAGCCATATCATGAACCAAAGCTAATCGCATGCATCTGACAAGAAGCAAGGACAGAATAATTAGGTTTTCAGCATTTTAAGCTATACCTTGTTATTCATAAAGCTAAGAGACCACATAACTTGTCCCCTTCATGTATTTTACAGGCTTTTTTGGTTTTTTAATGTTACATAACATTTTCCACTTCTTTGCTAAGGAAAGTAGTTTCTACCTAGATATTTTAATCACGGATTTCTAGCTATTGCTGCTTGTCAATGTAGATTCAAGCATAAATACAGTTTGTACAAGAGCATAGCATTCAAAAATAACGTGCTTTGTTTTTTTATACTTGGCTTTCAGAGATTTTGTGATAACTAACTACATTATACACTTCACATTAATGCTGCAACAGGTAGAAGGTAATCTGATTGGAGCCATACCAAATTCAGTATATAATCTACCAATCACTGCTCTGTAGCTATGTCAATCTGCAGCAGAGTACTGAAAAAAGCATTCACTATTTTCATCAGCTCCTGAAGGGACAAAGCAAGCATGACCCCATACTAGACTTGACAACTCATTCAACACTAATGATGCTCCCTCTTCCACACTATATGATTTCTGAGGCTCCCCAGTGCTGCCAAGCGCTAAGTAAGTCTGTCAAAATCCACATGGCGTATGGCTTTGCCTTTGCTGCCTGTTGCTTCAAACTGTGTTTTAACTGAGTGTCTTCAGCTTGCTTACTTATGGCTTGAGAGAAGGCCAGCTCAGAGCCCCTGTATGAACGACTTGCCTCAGCACCTGGAATTTAGCAATAAAGGTCTTTAGCCCCTGTCAGCTCTCCGGGTAAACAGCACCCTGTCCAAGGGACGGAGGGGAAAGGAGAGGGGAAAGGATTTCAAACTCCTTCAGTGTGTTTTAAAAGCTCTTCCTCAGGATGACAGCTACTTTAAGCATTTTGGTTGCAGCTCTCCCACGACATTAACATACAGCCAGGATAACCAGAGGCAGGCTCACCTGTCCTTGTTAAGGCTTTTGTCTTCGGTCACCAAAGCCATCATCGCCATCCTGTACATATGATCGGATACGCTCTCTGGCTTCGCCACGTTCCTGTACACCCATCCCGTCCGCGGTACTCTCTGCGCGGGGAGACCGTCACAGCAACGTAACTGCTAAAGCCCGAGGGTTTTTTGAAGGACCTCGCTCCACAGACGCCGGTAGACATTTTGCCCCACCGTGACCTCCATGCTCCGGTCAGCTTCGATACCGCCGCGAAACACCTGCCCCAGCCCCCGGGGCTGCCCCGAGGCTGTGAGGAGATGCCTTTACGTCCCCCTTCCCAGGCAAGGAGAACGCACCCGCGCTACCAGCAGCCGGCGGGCGCCCTCCTCAGCCTCACGCTACCCGCGCCGAAGCTCCGGGCCACCCCTGCCCAGCCCTGCCTTTCCCCCGGCCCGCCCGCCCGCCCCCGCCCGTGCCCCCCGGGCCGGCGGGCCCGCCCCCCCGCCATTCACACCCCGGAGGCTCTCCGCGGCCGCCCGGCCCCACCGAGGCGAGCCCGCCACCCGCCGCGTTCACCTTCAGCTGCCCCAGCAGCCGCAGGAAGGGCAGCAGGCCGCCGCGGCCGCCGCTCGCCCCCGCCGCCATCCACCGCCTCCTCTTCCTCTTCCTCCTGCCGGCCCGGGCGGCTCTGGGAGGTGCCGGGGGAAGGAAGAAGAGCGGCCGGGCACGGCGCTGCCCGCCCCGGAGCGCCGCGGCTGCCGCGGAGGGGTCGGCAGGGGGGTTAGG